AATAGAAGTTCATAGGATAAATCAGATGCATTGAGGTATCACTGAAATATCTCGAAGGAAAGGAATTTTAGAAGACATTTCGGTTCCCAGAAACAGCTAAAACTTTTTTTGCATTATTATTGTATATTCAATGTGTTGGAGTAATGTTGGCATCATTATATTGCTAACCGATAAGCTAATATTGTCCAAATAAATTTATTCCTTTGTAAAATTCGTAAGATTGAGACATAAGATATCATAAAATATATACACACATATATATACATATATAAATGACCAATGGATGTTCGATGTTGAATATCCAAACAATCTTCGGGAGGTTTCGGGAGGTTTTGTGAAAGCATGAAATTGAAAATAAAATGTAAATTTTTAGCTGATAAAATAAAATTTACGGAAAAATAAAAAATATCAATTATTTCTTCCTCCGATCGATCGATTCAATTGCATTGAACCCAAGGCGGATGAATTTCTGAACGATCAAAATTAGCAATCATTGTTTTCTAAATTTAAATCTTAAAAATTTAGAGGAAGTGTAATCTACTATCCGCTAACTTATGATACAAATTTGACGTAAGGTTTAAATTTACCGTAAGCGCCGTTACTGCAACACGAATGTCTCCAACTTATGGAAGTACCGTATTACTAATGTCAGGTATAAATTTTTGTAAGACAACTTCCCTTTCTACCCCTTTCACTATTGAAATACTCTATTCCTGGTCTTATGCTGCGTGTTATCCGGAATTCTTAAGGATCGGAGAGAAAAGAACTTCACAGTTATTTTCTTGTTCATTGAAATTCTTGCATTTTTTAACTTCAAATGATAAGCCTTCTTATTTATCATTGTTAACGACTAGTTCTACAGTATTCTGATTGTTGAGTTAGAGAGAATTGTTACTAAATAACTTTTCTTCCCGCTCTATGGATCGATTCGACTAATTGAATAACCGGTGGATAATGAATAAAGAATTGAAGAAAGTTGGTCAAACGAAGAATCAAATCCACCCAATATTCTATTTTACATTCTTGATGCAAGATAATACAATTGAAGAATTGCAATAACATAGGGGAATGATGACTAATCGTGTTTCTGAAGGACGATGGCATTGACGACTGAATCTTAGCAACTGACCCCAACAGCCTTTCAATAACAACTGAAAATGTGAAAAGGGCAGTAGCTTTTTGCGGAAATTATTTTTTCACCGTCAAAAAGACGGTTCATTGAAATTCTTTCATTTATTAACTTCAGATGATAAGCCTTCTCAATTATCACTTTAACGCTAATTCTATTCTGATTGTTGGGTTAGAGAGAATTGTTACTAAATCACATTCCTTCCCGCTTTACGGATCGATTTGACTGATCGAATAACCGGTGGATGATAAATAAAGATTGAAAGAAAGTTGGTCAAACGAAGAATTAAATCCACCCAATATTCCATTTTACTTTCTTGGTGCAAGATAATACAATTGAAGAATTGTGATTACATAGGGGAATGATGTATAACATTGATGCTGAAGGACGATGGCATTTGATGACGCTGTAACATCGCATTCTGACCCCAGTAGAACCACAGCGGGACTTTGAAAGTGAAAGAAGAACGGTAGCTTTTTGTGGACATTATTTTCCACCGTATTTCAAAGAAATGTGACAGTAATTACCTGAGAGTAGTATCCGGTAAAGGATATTTGTCATAAAATTATCACCGAAATATTTCACTAATAGATAAACAAGCATTGATAAGAAAGAATAGTGATTTGTCAATATTAAATGATTTTATCCTGATTAATAAATCCATACATAAAATGAACATGACAAATATCTCAGGTAATTGCTGTCACATTTCATTGAAATATGAGGTAATCGTAATCCTCAACGGTATCATTTTAATGAAAATCATAAATGGAATGGAAGGCTTTGATGGATGCTATTAAATATTTTGCAAAAAGATGAACAAAACAGCTTAACAGCTTTTTCCAAGAAAAGCACTTATATAAAAAGAACCGAAATTCGATTTGCGATACTAAAAAGGCGGTGGAAAATAATATTTGTAAAAAGCCCTTCATGGATTTTCAAATTCTTATTGAAAGGCTGCTGGAGTCAGAAGAGGTGTGATGCTTTCGGTCGTCAATGCCATCATCCCTCAGAAATAATTTTATGCATCATCCCTCTAAGTAATCACAATTCTTCGTTTGTATTATCTTTTACCAGAAATGTAAAATAAAGTATTGGATGGATTTGATTCTTCGTTTGACCAACTTTCTTTTATCCTTTATTTATCATCCACAGAAAAATTCATATATATAAAAAGAACTTAACTTCGGTTTGCGATACTAAAAAGACGGTGGAAAATAATATCCGTAAAAAGTATATAAAAAGAACCGAAATTCGGTTTGGGATGTTAAAAAGACAGTGGAAAATAATATCCTCAAAAAAACTATCATCCTTCTTGCATTTTCAAATTCTTATTGAAAGGCTGTTGGGGTCAGTTGCTCTGTTTAAGATTCAGTCGTCAATGCCATCGTCCTTCAGAAACACCACTAGTCATCATTCCCCTATGTTATTGCAATTCTTCAATTGTATTATCTTGCACCAAGAATGTAAAATAGAATATTGGGTGGATTTGATTCTTCGTTTGACCAACTTTCTTCAATTCTTTATTCATTATCCACCGGTTATTCCATTAGTCGAATCGATCCATAAAGCGTGAAGAAAAGTTATTTAGTAACAATTCCTTCTAACCCAACAATCAGAATAGAATTAGTCGTTAAAGTGATAATTGAGAAGGCTTATCATCTGAAGTTTATTAACTTCAACATAAAAATTTATGTTCGTTGAACATTCTTGCATTTATTAAAATTGAATCATCAAAGCCTTCCATTCCATTTATGATTTTCATTACAATGATACCGTTGAGGATTGCAATTACCTCATATTTCAATGAAATGTGGCAGCAATTACCTGAGATATTTGTCATGTTCATTTTATGTACGGATTTATTAATCAGGATAAAATCATTTAATATTAACAAACCACTGTTCTTTCTTAACAATTTTTGTTTATCTATTAGTGAAATATTTCGGTGATAATTTTGTGACAAATATCCTTTACCGGATACTACTCTCAGGTAATTACGGTCACATTTCTTTGAAATACGCTGGAAAATAGTATCCGCAAAAAGCTACCGTTCTTCTTTCACTTTCAAAGTCCCGTTGAGAGTCTACTGGGGTCAGAATGCAATGTTTCAGCTGGTCATCAAATGCCATCGTCCTTCAGCATCAGTGTTATACATCATTCCCCTAAGTAATCACAATTCTTCAACTGTATTATCTTGCACCAAGAAAGTAAAATGGAATATTGGGTGGATTTAATTCTTCGTTTGACCAACTTTCTTTCAATCTTTATTTATCATCCACCGGTTATTCGATCAGTCAAATCGATCCGTAAAGCGGGAAGGAATGTGATTTAGTAACAATTCTCTCTAACCCAACAATCAGAATACTGAGAATACTGTAGTAGTCGTTAACAATGATAAATAAGAAGGCTTATCATCTGAAATTAATAAATGCAAGAATTTGAAGTTCTCTCCATCCAGCGAAATTTAAGAGAAATAGTTCCGATTATTCTGAACTATTAAGATAAAATTCTTTAAACATTCCAGATAGCACGCATCATAAGATGACAAATAGAGTATCTCGATAGTGAGAGGGGTAGGAAATGAAGTTGTATTGCAAGAATTTATGTCTGATATTAGTAGTACGATACTTCATCGATGCAATCACAGAGAAACGTTTGATTGCGCAATCTTTTTTAAGCATAAAGTGAGAAAATACGGTTTGGCCTTATGAACGGTCATTTGACCGTTCATAAGGCCAAACCGTATTTTTGCATGGCTTTGTTATATGCGGTACAGATTCATATTTAATTTGCCTGCGTTTTTTCATTGGCTGATTGAACAAAAGAAAAATTAGTTTACTTTACACAGAGAAATACCTTTTGAGTGATAATAACAAAATGAAAGTTCACTCTTCCCACTTGTTCTTTTTTCAGAATTCGTAGAGATTTCACTGAATAGCATTGATATGATCGCAAAATAAATAGAGAAGCATAATTTAGAATAGCCAATTTTGAAGTTGAAATTTTAATGAAAGCAGAAAAGATGTATTAATTATATTAATATGGATAGAATTCCTTGTTTATGTGTTGCAATCTTTCTAAATTTAAGTTTCGACTGAAATATTTGCATATAATTTCAAAACAATAAGCACTTATGTTCAACAGTTTCTAAAGGAGAAATGAATGAAATGAATGGCTTAAATTTGTTTTTCTCAATTTCTATTTTTTCTCAACAAACTTTAATCAGTAAAAGATCTCATGGAAATATACCCAAATATATGATAAAAATGCAATAGCTGTGTAAGTCCAACAATGAAATGAATTTAAAATGGTAAAGGTATTGGCTATAAAATGATCGCTTTATTTATGAAAAGATTTTCTGTGTTAGCTCTGATTTGATTGCAAATATATTACAACAAATGAACATCCCTATCACAACAAATGCTGTTCGTTTTTTTCTTTTGAGGGTAACTACAATAAATGTAAAGTAATTCCAAATTTCATATAAAAGATCACTTTTAAGTGCCGCATATGTCGCAACTGTAATGGCATAATATATTATCAATTATCAGTAAAGCAGACTTCCAGCAGTAATCCGTAATTCTAAAAAAATAAAAGTTGAAACAATATTTAGTTTCACTGGGTAATATTTACTTATGCAAGAAGCTTTTAAAATCTACCTTTGAGCCATTTTTTAAAGTAATTTTGGAGACTGGATCAACTGACTGATTCTTAATACAGTACAATCATGTAACAGAGAATAGTGCTTTAAAAATTTGAGCTATCAAAGTATTCATTGTATAATGTATTGCCAATTTACCCTACCTGCACTTTTCTCGAAAATTGTTCAAAAAGTATTTTGTCAAATACGGTGGCAATTTATTTGAAATTACAACAAAAATGTTAACCGACCACTTTCAAGCTCCAGAGCTGTTGTCCAACTATCCTCATCAACGATTTTTTCGCCTTTCAGTGATGTCAACAGTCTGAAACAAAATAAAAAGACCATAATTCGAAAGCTTTAAACTTCAAAATAATTTCATCCTTTGCTAATATAACAAGTGTGATATTAAGCTATCACAGTGTGAATATTTTGGGTAACTTAATCTGCCAAAATTAAAGTGAAAAACTCCCTAAAACACCATAAGTTTATAAATCTCCATATGAGAAAACAACTTGGAAATGATCAGCTGCCGATGTAATCGCGCCGAGTTATCGTCCGTATTCCTACATGTGCGCTGCATCTTCAAAAAATTTTCGACTGCCATCTGAAATTATAAACGTATTACAAAATATTTTTTATTTTACTCCAATTATTTTTGAAGCTCCTCCTCAAAGACGCCTTTTAACAAATTTCAAGCCAAAATCACTTACTTCTTCTACAGTTTTACAAATGCTGACATTACAAAAACTTTCGGAACAAGACAAAAGTGCATGTCGACAAAGATTAAGTTCACTTTCATGTTCCACAGCATATTGTCGCACGAATTTTACATCTTTTGGCCACGATTTAGGTATAACCATCGCAAAACCTTCCTGATAACAAATGAACACGCAAGTAAAGTTTGAAAAAACGGAAGAAACTCAAAATTGAGGAGGAATGGGAAAAATTTTGGTCCAATTTAATCTGAAATATCAATTTCAGTGGCCTAATCTGAGATTGCCTTTTTGACATTATTCAATTACTTTGTTCCCCTTGATTTGCAGTCAATCTTTCTGATTTAAGATTTATATCCAAATTTAATAAATGCAATGAAATAAAAAACTACTTGGCCAAAGAAACATTTTTCGCCGCTCAAAACAAGCACGTTTGTGCTGGATTCTATTTCCACTGTTTGATATGGATAAATGAATGGTATCTTTCGAGTAGATAAGAAATTTTTGATTAAGTTGCAGTTCTCGCGTCCTGCAAAGTATCCAAACTTTTACAAGAGCCGTAAACCTGATCAGGTTAGAATTACTTGAAATTTAAAAGTTCAGATCCTAAAATCTAATTTAAAAAATTTTATATTTACTTCAAACGACAATTCAGCGTATTTTTATATAAATTATGCATTTCAGAAAAGATATTGATATTGATTTATTGATATTGATTTCCGTCTCTTCAGCAAATATCTGTTTTCTGGTCCATTTTTTTTAGTTTGGTACAACAGCGTTGCTTCAATCCTATTCGAGAGAAAGAACCCATGAAGGAAAGAGTAATCATATCTCGCATTATAAATTTTACCATAAGCTCGTTTTTAACGGACAGGAAATGTTAATTGAACATTGGTTCGAAATTTTCACTAGAAAAAAATAAGGAAAGGTACTATTTAAAATGTAACTAAAAAACAAAATGTAATTGAAACAAATATAAAGTACAAGAAATTTAGTAAAAAAAATACCTTTTTTAGTAAGCGATAAGTTTTCCAGAGATAATTCAGTTTCGTCAATAATGATTAAAGTATTGTCGGATACTTGTAGCAAACCTTGTTCGAAACCGCTTTGAGGTTTCTCATATGATGCCCACGATTCTTCCATTGTTTTCTGCATCATCTTGATGACATAAACCTGCAATTCACTCTTCAATGCTTCTGGAAAGTTTTCTCAATCGATTTTGAACCCACAGAATTGGAAATGATATGCTAATCGAACAAAAACAGAAATTTCCGATACAGCAAAAAATTTTTCAGCTCTGCAATAGAAAGGTTCTTAAGTGCATTGGCGCTTTAATCATTGTCTGATAAGGAGTAGTGACTGAGATTCAAATTTTTTACATTCCATTACTCTGTGGTATCACTTTACAGCACAATGAAATAACACTTCTAAAATGCATCACGTTACTGGCTGGGGTACTTGTAAGACAGTCAAAACTTGCAGCTGAAACAAATACATGTAAGCATTGTTGATTTCAGAAGTGCCTCTATAAATAACAGGAAAAAAAGCTAGACATACTTTTGGTATGAAAAGTTTGATCATTTCAACTATCGGTTTGCTGTCATATATCTTTTTTATCGTATAAGGAAAGGTATCTACTGATTTCGGCTGTTGAGAGTGTCTGAAATCAAGCCAAAATAATATGTGTTTCATACCCTAAGAAATAGCTATTTCATCAAGTTAAAAAGAATTGGGGGAGATTTACTTACTGCGAAATGAACAACTGATATGTTAGAGATTGCGCAATGACTTTATTCCCAAAGAATTGTTCGAAAGCATAAATCAGTGATTCAAATCCCTGCACATTTTTTTGCTTTAGTACCTAAAACATTCTTACATGGAGATTATAATAATGCTGGTGTAGATATATGCACTACGGGAAATTAGTAAAGAAAAATGATTACATTGAAAATTAAAAAAAAAAGCTTAAAACGTTTAAAAAGTTAAAGAAAAACTCTTGAGGTTAAACAGAAATAAATACTTAAAACGTTTAAAAAGTTAAAACTCTTGAGGTTAAACAAAAATAAATACTTAAAACGTTTAAAAAATTTTTCATTAGGAATTATTTCGTTAGTAAATGATTACAAAACTTAATTTCAATTTTTTTCTTTACAGAACATCAATTTTTTTAATGTTAAGAAAAACCTGACCAAGACCACACGTGCAATCAAACGAGCATTTATATTCGACTTTCTTGAGTTTATATTGTAATTTGATATCTAAAATTTAAAAAACACCTCCGGATAAGCTGATGACACAATATCGTTATGCTTTACTGGTTCGTAATGAATAACATGCAATGATATCGTGCTCAATGAACTTTTTGTATTTGGATCATCATCTTCGTCCCTGAGAAGAAGCTTCAAGACTTTTATTACTACAACAAAACCATAATAAAAAATGGAAACAAACGAAGAAAAGGTAACAAAGAGCAATACATAAAGTGTAGCATCATAATTAAGATCCCTCGGTGTTGTCAAAAGGCAACAAAATATATGATCATTTCTTCTCCCATCCTATCACTAATTCCTTCATGATATATCGAAAAAATTGCTGATCCATTTAAAAAAAAGAAATTACTTACTCAACTCTTATTTCGGTTAAATCGACAATGCCATACAAATCAAACACAGCATTTGGCTTAAAATTTTCACTTCCCTCGTCATAAAACTGAAATGATTACTTTTACAGGAACATTTCCCAGCATTTTATGACATGTATCCATAAGTCATACTGATACATAAGTCATACATTTGCTATTCAGAAAATCCACTCAAAAACCTTTGTGAGTAAAATTTTTATTAATTAGAGATCGCTGACTTTTAAATAATGTGATTTACCAGAGCACAAGTTCTCGATTCTTCATTTTTGAGGAGTACCTCACTGTATTCCTGATAGATTTTATCTAAAAATTTTGTCATTACTATAAACAGTGAAATCTTTTTCAACCATTCTTCATTCTGTGGAGGTTTATTGCTATAGATGTTCGAGAAGAGTCACAACATAAAATAGCCCAGTTAGATCGACACGGCGAATCGAGAAATATATCTTGATCATGGATGATTCCTACTTAATAAGACCTATGAATTTTTTAAACTTTCTAAACTTGAAAGCATTAAACTATTTTATCGTTTCAAATGAAATATTAACCATGAAAAGTCTTTAAGTACCAATCTGTGATCCCTCTTTCTGGCACCAAAATGTACGCGTTTCGGCGAGTCATGCCTTTTGTTTCCTTGATATTCTAAAAATAAAGGTATTCCACTTTCAAAAATGGAAAACAGATAAGACCATATGATTAATCCGAATTCTCACAAACCAAATTCAAATCAAAGCTATGAAAAAAAAAACAAATAATAGTAACTTGAGGAAGATCAAAAAATTAATCTAACTGAACAGTTGACTCGATTCCTTAAAATTCCACAAACTGTACGAGTACCACCATCCTCTTCTTCCGTGATTACTGCATTCAATGAAAATACTGTTTGCATTCCACTAAGAATCATTCCACGCATCCGAACCAAATCACCGTGCTCCACATTATCCGTATGCAGATATTTCCAATTCTGATCGAAATTTAAAAACAAAATTAAATAAATTCTAGCAACCTCTCTTATCATATATTCTACTCACAGCAGTTAAATCCAAGTTGAAACCATCAACAACTTAAACTTGGTATTATTATATATATTTCATCGACATATCAATCTACAAATACGGAGAATTATTAATCAGTGAAAGTCGATAACGACATTTCCATTCATACTATTCTTCAACAGCTACCATGAATTCATTCATGTATTTCTCCTTCAGCCTTGTAATAAGCTTGCATGGATCCTTCGTGTATTCTGCGATATTCTCTGCAACGATTATTTCAATCTATTCAAATTAAAATTATGATAGGAATGTTTATTACAAACCATTAGAAATTTGTGTTTATAACATGAACACAAGTTTTATAAAATTAAATTCAAACTTGCTCGATCTTTATCAACATAAAATTAACCATTACGCGCACTACATTATAAGCATTGAAACTGAAGATATTAATGATAAAATCAAACAACTCAGAAAAATAGATTATAATATAAGGGAAGGATAATAGAGGTAAAAAAAGGGATTAGAAATGAAATGACGTGAATGAAAAATTAATCAATTAATCAAATCAATGAAATTAACCGAAAAATAGGTTATCCACTTCATTGTATATACTTTCCTCGTTACTTTCTTGTAATTCTCTTGTTGAGCTAATTCGGACAGCAAAATTTTTATTCCGTATTTTCACACTTTTAATATTCTGAAAATGGGTCGCATTTTCGTCCTCATCGTTTTCCATTTTCAAATAAAAAAGGAGCTGAAAAAAACAAACGAAAATTATAATTAACATAAAACAGTGGTGAAAATTTCTCTATTGCTTAGTAGCGTTTCTTAATCAACTAATTTGATCAATGAGAGCCGAGAAAGTTAATCAGTGAAAAGTGATTAAATATTAGTTAATAATGATATTAGTTAATTGACAAAAAAATATTAGTTGTTAATTGATTAGTTAATTAGTTAATTGACAAAAGTAAACAAGCAAGACTATTTGATCACTTTTCATAGTTAAGCTAGCCACACTGTAGCAGTGTTATCGTTCTATCATTGTAAGTAATTGCTAAAGAAATTTGATATCAAACAATTCGCGTGTAAATTAAGCATTCATTCAAATTAATTAGAAGAAAGCGGATAATCTCAAAAATTTCCTCAATTGCAAAAATTTAGCAGATAGCATTAATTTTCATTATTGTTCTTCGAAAGAGTAAAGCATAGGTTAACAATACTTCAAACAACATCAAACAGAAATTAAAATTCAATTCAAACCTAATTTTGCCTCATTTTGTCATCTACGCAAAGAGTCTCTCTGAAAAATGCCATCCCTCCCTGAATTAAAATCATTCGACAAATTCAATTAGCCAATGAAAACAGGCAAATTAAATCTGAATCTCTACCGCACATAACAAAGGCATGCAAAATGCACGCAAATAACTGTCCATAATAAAGCCAAGCCACATTTTCTCACTTTATGCTCAAAAACAATTGCGCAATCAAATGTTTCTCTGTGATTGCATTGATGAAGTATCGTGCTATTAATATCAGACATTAATTTTTGCAATATAACTTCATTTTCTACCCCTTTCACTATCGAAATACTCTATTTGTCATCTTATGGTGCGTGCTATCTGGAATGTTTAAAGAATTTTATCTTAATAGTTCAGAATAATCGGAACTATCTTTCTTAAAGTTCACTGAACGGAGAGAACTTCATAGGAATTTTTATGTTCATTGAACATTCTTGCATTTATTAACTTCAGATGATAAGCCTTCTCAATTATCACTTTAACGACTAATTCTATTCTGATTGTTGGGTTAGAGGGAATTGTTACTAAATAACTTTTCTTCACGCTTTATGGATCGATTCGACTAATGGAATAACCGGTGGATAATGAATAAAGAATTGAAGAAAGTTGGTCAAACGAAGAATCAAATCCACCCAATATTCTATTTTACATTCTTGATGCAAGATAATACAATTGAAGAATTGCAATAACATAGGGGAATGATGACTAATCGTGTTTCTGAAGGACGATGGCATTGACGACTGAATCTTAAACAGAGCAACTGACCCCAACAGCCTTTCAGTAGGAATTTGAAAATGCGTGATGAATGGTAGCATTTTGAGGGTATTATTTTCCACCGTCTTTTTAGTATCGCAAACCGAAATGTGACAGTAATTACCTGGGAGCAGTATCCGGTAGAAGATATTTGCCATAAAATTATCAGCAAACTATAAAACAAAAATTATTCATCAATGACTTCAAATGTTAAGGTAATCCTTTGTTCATTTAGTTTAGCTTGCGTCCAAAGGATATAATAAAGTGTTTTCGCCGATTGTTGAAAGAATCAGAATATCTCTCTTAAATTTTATTGAACTGAGAGAACTTCACAGTAATTTTTATGTTCATTGGAATTCTTGCATTTATTAACTTCAGATGATACGCCTTCTTAATTATCACTTTAACGACTGATTCTGCAGTATTCTGATTGTCGAATATGAGAGAATTAATGTTACTAAATAACATTCCTTCCCGCTTTACGGATCGATTTCACTGATTGAATAACTGGTGGATGATAAATAAAGATTGAAAGAAAGTTAGTCAAACGAAGAATTAAATCCATCCAATGTTTGATTTTATATTCTAGATGCAAGATAATATAAGTGAAGAATTGTGATTACATAGGGGAATGATGTATAACATTGATGCTGAAGGACGATGGCATTTGATGACGCTGTAACATCGCATTCTGACCCCAGTAGACTCTCAACGGGAGTATGAAAGTGAAAGAAGAACGGTAGCTTTTGGCGGATATTATTTTCCACCGTCTTTTTAGTATCGCAAACCGAAGTTAAGTTCTTTTTATATATATGAATTTTTCTGTGGATGATAAATAAAGGATAAAAGAAAGTTGGTCAAACGAAGAATCAAATCCATCCAATACTTTATTTTACATTTCTGGTAAAAGATAATACAAACGAAGAATTGTGAATACTTAGGGGGATGATGCATAAAATTATTTCTGAAAGATGATGGCATTGACGACCGAAAGCATCACACCTCTTCTGACTCCAACAGCTTTTCAATAAGAATTTGAAAATCCATGAAGGGCTTTTTGCAAATATTATTTTCCACCGCCTTTTTCGTATCGCAAATCGAATTTCGGTTCTTTTTATATTAACGTTTTTCTTGGAAAAAACTGTTTTGTTCATCTTCTTGCAAAATATTTAATATCAATCAACAAAGTCTTCCAATTCCATTTATGATTTTCATTACAATGATACTGTTGAGGATTGCAATTACCTAATATTTCAATGAAATGTGACAGTAATTACCTGAGAGTAACATTCGGTAGAGGATATTTGCTATAAAATTACCACTAATGAATTAACAAACATTGATAAGACAGAAAAATGAATTATCAAATATTAAATAATTTTATTCTAACTAATTAGTGAAAATATCATTGATTTTTATCATCGATGGAATCAATTATTGCGATAGCAAACTATAATAGGAATTAATATGCGCAAAAGTACAGCGTCTTTTTTATATAAAAGAATTTGCATTAAAGACTTCTTGGATCAGATCTTTCATATTCAGCACATATCGTCGTTTTTTAGATACTTTTCCACATTCATTTCCTTTAGCAAAGATGTAAAATCATACATAACATTTGACGGATTCGTTTGATCAAATCAATATTCTTCCATTCATTGGTTATTGATTTGATCAGCGAAATCGAACTGTAAAATGGGTGGATAAAAGAATTATTTAATAATAGAAATAACCGCCGATTTGATTGTTGCGATATTTATCGGTAAGGCTTTCAACAATCAGCGATGACAACAAACAATATTCAATATCTTTCTACTTACCTTCGATCGTAACTTTTATACCACTCCTACACTATTTAATCTTTCCATCTCTTCTCTCCAATTACTATTCTCTCTTCCTCTCACTTTGTTTTATATGAATTTTCGTAAAATTTGTGATATGCAGGTGGAATTTATCACCGAACGGTTTCAAATTAAGGACGAATGAAATCAATTTTTCATATTTATTCCGAACAAAAAGTGCAATTTTAAAAAAAGCTTTAGCTTACCAAATTAGCCGTAAATAATCGGTAACAGGTATTCTTATACGATAATTATAAATGATTCTGATTCAATAGTAAATAATCGATAACAGGTATTCTTATATGATAATTATAAATGATTCTGATTCAATCACAGTATTAAAAACTTTAACGACTGCTACATACCTATAGTTGGAATCGAAATAAATTCCATAGTATTTGTATAAACTATTTTGATCACATTTGTTTCGTTCAGTTATACATAAATTGGATTGGATAAAAATACATTTCAAGTTGGCAGTAATTTTGTCATTGTCAAATAATTTTTGAGCACTTAAAAATTTTGTAAATAACAACACATAATATTGTAAGTGCTTGATTAGTAAAATGAAAACTTTTCAGCTAAAAATTTTCAAGTTAAAAACATTCATTATTTCTTCGTGCCCAATATAGCATCAGCGATCGCTTCCTCTCCCGGATTAAATGTTGCAAACCTGAAAATAATATCAATAACAATGTAATGCGCTTTTGTCGTATAATTTTTTTCCTTTAATTAATTAAATCAAATTTTTATATCAAGCAATATACGCTTAACGAAAATTTATTATAAATATAATTAACTCTGCAAAATTCAATTGTTTTACATTTCAACAACTTTCAACGTTATTGATAGTATTCGTTAACATTTATCATCCATTCATTGTTCGGCTAAATTATTGAACTTTCTACATTTTTATTTATTTTTATGAAATTGCTCTTTGATTCATTCCATCATTTAATAAAATATCGAAGACAAAAACTATTATTTATTTCTTAAATTTCATTGTATAATAATAAAGTGAATAATAAATATATGTAATATCTATCTGTCGTTTATTTCTATTTTCATTTCAATTTCATTTAAGAGTGCACAAACTTTGGCTGCGGCTGTCATTTAAAACTTGTTTGTGTTCCATTAAGTTTGACAGCTAAACGATAATATTTCATTTGCCTTTGTGGAAAATTTAAGAAATAATAAATGAGTGGGAGTGGGAATGATTTTTCATTCCTTTACTTTTTATAACTTAATCGATTTATATAAAGTAAGCAAAAATTTTCGCTCTCTTTATTCAACTAATATAGAAATACGAATAGAAAAGGGAACGAATAAATATAAATTAAAATAAACGATTAAATATTAATTTCATATCGATTAAATATCGATTAAACATAAATTTCATATCGATTAAATATCGATTAAGTATAAATTTCATATCGATTAAATATAAATTCGAATAAATTTTAATGAAATTACATACTTTTATAATCGTTTTGATTTATAAAACAAAAGGAATGAAATGAAAAATCATGGATATTTGATGGATTTAAATGGCAACAAAACAAGTTAAAATGAAAGATTTTGGAGTATCACTAACAGCAATAATTCGTATTATCAATTATTTAATTTCGATTAATCATTCCGTATTATCAATTATTTAATTTCTATTAATCATTTCGTTTTATCATTTATTCAATCTCTATTAATCATTTCATATTATCAACTATTTAATTTCTAATAATGATTTTTTCTTCCATTTCAAATTTTATTCATTTTCTTTTTTCATTATTTTTTGCAAGAAACATTTCAGAGATTTTATTCAAAACAAATTTTCTAATAAAAATTTA